ATTTAACATGTGTTCTTCCTTTCCTCTAATTCAAACCTATTCAACCCCCCCAAATTGAGACAATTTGGAGAGCTTTTAAGAGGTATATTAATTTCTAGAAGTTTCTGAGAAGCTTTAAGCTTTCAGCGTTGTTGCAGTTATACAGCTGCATTGCAGTTCTCACAATCTCTGGTCCCTCACAGGCCTCTTGTCTTATCTCTTTGGTGGCGGCATTGTTCCGTGTGTGTTCCCGTTTCACACGTTTGCTTCCTCCAGGCCAACTGTGTCTCACGCGCCACTGTGATTCTCTTCTCTATCTTTTTCTATTTATACCTCCTCTCTATGTTCTCTCTGTACAAGCAGCCCTGGCTATGGCTTTGACCTCCTAGTCTAGGAAAGAAGGCCGTTCAGCATGTGTAGAGGTGCTGTAAAGCGTAAAAGAGTCAAGACTGATTTCAGTTGAGCACTGTCTCCCAATCTTTTTTTAAATGGTGCAGTGTAAGTGTATAGACGAGTACTTCTGGTTTAAATTGAATTAGGATATGCAGTTGCACTCTAATATTATGTATTTGCTACTAACTGTTTTAATTGTTCTATTTTTATTAATTATTTACAATCAAAATGTATGTTAATAAATGTTATTATTATTTATTATTGTATTTTTGTATATGAATCAATGTAATTGATTTCATTAATTTAAAATGTATTTGATTACTTATTTGCTTATTCATCAGATTTTTATAAAATGTATTTAAAAATCTTTTGACTACATTTTCAAGATGAGAAAAGTTCTGAAAGATTTGATGTAAAAAATCAAACTCTTACTCTTACCCTAACTCTTATGAATAGAAAATTCAAAACAACTGTGTTTATTTGAAATATAACAATGTAAATGTCTTTACTGTCACTTTTGATCAATTTAATGTGCCCTTGCTGAATAAAGGTACAGTATTAATTTCTTTAAAAAAATTTTTTAAAGTTGTTACCCAAACTTTTGAACGGTATTGTATGTTAATTTTATGAATTTCTAAAATAACATATTATTATGGTGCATAATTGTTATGTGAGTTCATAACAATTTTATGCATTTGCTAAATTATTATTACTCTTTGGTCCCCTACAAATTGGTAAGCATGGCAAAATGTGTAAATATAAAAAAACCTGCCAATTCTTATAATTTTCATTGCAGTGTTTTTTTCCAGATCTCACATCTCTTAGTAGGTTTAAAAAAGCAGTACAGAGCTTTTCTTTTGGCTTCAGTCAGGCGTTGTGCTGATAGGGAACTGCTATCTGTGGGTCTGCATCCTGTTCAGCAGAAGCTTGCCACTGTCCATGTGCAGCTGACATTTGGCCGTATTTTTTTTTAATCTGTATAGCTATCAGGAATGAGAGTGTGTGTGCATGAACATACCTCAAAGTGCTTGATTTTAGATTTGAACATGATTGTGTCAGTCAGCTGATAGTCCGAGGTGTCGATCTCCTGTGACTGCAGAGCTTTGCTGAAGTGGAGTGTCTGTTTCACATCCTGCACACACTTTTTTCTGATATGCTCCATTGATGCCCTCTGGTTCAAGCTGCTAGCATGGTGATAACTGACTTCTTTAAAGTTAAAAGCCCAAAATTGTTTATTAGTGGACATGGCAATGCTGGTGACATAGTATTACTAAACACAATAGGTGCAGCAGGTTCATTGTCCATCACAAGACCAGCATGTTGTTGGCCTGTCTTTCTAATTTAAGGTAACTGTGACTTAAGTAAGCTGGTACTCTCTGTCTGCAGCAACATATTGAGAGTAAAGTGGGCAGATGTCCACTCACAACAAGTGGCCATATGGAATAAGCTGATCCTCTTGGGCTCTGTTTGGTGAAAGAGTTGTTAATGAACTGGAGAGTTTGCTTCAGATGACCCCTGTGGTGTGCACTGACTTTCTCTGGTCTTAGAGAGAAAATATAATTTGCTGTTCCACAACCTAGAGAGCTGCTTACAGAGGCCATTTTTTAATCTATCGTAGCCGTCCAGAATGCTTTGTTTCAAAACTTCATTTTGCAAATTTTTTCTAAAGATGCAGTCACATTTGTGAAATTTCAGCCAAATTTTGGGGACATAAAAGGTCCCATCTTATTTTGTCAATAGCGGAGTGATAAATAAAGCACAGCTCACACAGAAGTCACTTTCAAACCAAATCAGTTTTCTGTTGGTCAGCATAGCGAATTCATGTTTCCAATATGAAAATGAGTGAAATTTGCACTGGGATCTTTCGCCCTCACGTAAAAGTACTGTTCGGGCAGATACCTATCTCTTGAAGTAATGGAAATTTATTTTAATTTAATTTGTTTGGTCAATTCAGTTTACATTCTCATTCATTCATTCATTCATTCTACAAGTAAAGTTTCAAATGGGGATTTGAACTTGCAACCTTTCAGTTACTGGCCCAGATCTATAATTATTATATAAATGAAAAAACTGGTCATTTTCCATATCTAAAGAGCATTAAGGACCATCTTTAAAAGTGAAATGTATAGTGAAACAGATTGGGCGTGTACTTTTGGATATCTTCTGCTGTGGATGTTGGCGTCCAAAAGCAGTATGCCTTCAAGGAGTATTCTTGTGGTTTCAATGATTAAATCCAGTTTAACAACATGGGCCGGTAAAATTGATCCCATGCTGTGTGTTGTGGTTGCACATGTGTGTTTACTGAAACCTCAACCTAGCAACCTGCACCTACCACCCACCATTCCTGTGGGGGGTTTATTACAACATCCTCTGCTTGATTCCCAGTACTGTTTTTAATGATCTGAAAGAGTCCAGCACGCCAACACTATCTGTTCAACCAATTAAAGACAATGGCAGTGTTTGGTGACATTAGTGGCGCAGAAATCACAAACTTTGGCTCTTTTGCACCTGTTGAGGTGGACTTGAGATATCACCCATTTTTTTATTCCTCTGTTTATAAGAAAACATTGGGTAAGAGGTATCTGATCGGCAGTAGTTAATATATCAGGTCCGTGCTGGACTGCCATCATCTCCATTTTTTGCACATTCAACATAGTTTTGGAGTCAATGGATTGGTTCTCAGAGGAAACAGTGCATCAGTGCCAGGCTGCAGAGAGGCAGTGAGTTTCACTCATCCCAGCAGGGATTATTGGGTTCAGTCTGCAGATACTCAAAACTGCTGCTCCAACAGAATTTCATCCTCCCAAAGCCTCGGCTCGGGCTGCGTGAATAACCAAACTCTCCCTCTCTCAGCATGCTGTTAGAAACGCGTCCGGGCATGGGAATTCAGCGACTTCTGAAAAACAGGGCGAGTGAGATTTAACATTTCAATAATAGTAAAACTGCATACATCAGTTTAGCTGCAAGTAAAATATGACTTTGAGGCAGTTTTGGTCTTTTACTGATTTTAATAATGCTTAATAGATGTTTTTTGGCAGTGGGTGAATTGCTTTGTTGAGATGACAACAAGAACAAACAATTCATCTTAACATTTTGCTTCAATTAATTCTATTTGTAGTTAGTTATGATTGTACAGCCAGATTGTTAAATAGCAACAATTTGGCTTTCCTTAGACCAAAATTAGAATGAGAGGGGATTTAAAACTGGGGTCACAAAATGTTCAGGATAAAATTATATGCAGTATATAAACCAAAATAATTCTTATTATTATTGTAATAATTACTTTATACATTTTACTATATATAAATATGTATATATATATATATATATATATATAATTTTAATATATACAATTACATATTTTAATTATATATTTGTGATTTATTATAAAACATACATTTAAAAAATATTTTAATATATTCAAATACTTCTAATTATTATAATAAAAATATTTTTTTTATTTGTGTGTGTATTTTGTAATTAGTTATTGTAGTAAATTTTACTATATATATATTTAATCTTATTTTAATATATACAATAACATATTTTAATGATATATTTGTGATTTATTATTAAAAAATGTAATATATATTCAAATACTTCTAATTATTATACTAAAAATTATATATAATTTTTTTTGTGTGTGTGTATATATATATATATGTGTGTGTGTGTGTGTATTTTGTAATTAGTTATTGTAGTTATTTATATTTAAAAACTTTTTAAAATTTTTATTTAAAGATTTGGAAAAAAAAATATTTATAAATATATAATTATAAAAATATAACTTTTTACATATATATAATTATATATATTTTTCTCCATTCAACTGAATTGTATTCTGCTTTGAAAATTATGACACTAATCATAATTATTTTATTTTTATATTTAATTAAAATACAGAGCTGCCATTACATTTTTAATCATTACATTTTGGGGTCTGTGACATAAAAACATTTTACCTGTGAACTAATGCAAGACTTTTCTTCTTTGCTTGCTAATTGTCCATTACTCTAGTGCATTGGCAAGAAGGGTGATATTATGTCTGATTAGGCTGTCACCCAGTGGTGTTAACGTTGACACATCTGCTGTCTTGCTAATGGCTTGTTAATCCTTCTCAAGCTTGAGAGTCATGCCTTGCTGCCACTGCATCTGGAGGCTGGTTATACACTTCCATATACAAACTGTAGGTTTCCATTGCTCTGACAACAAATTGCATCCTACCTTCCCACTTATCTGTGATTTCTGCCTGCCAGAGTATGTTCGCTTCTCAGCAGCGGCTGTGCTGGGCTATATTGGGTGACTCCTCGCTGCTGTGGAACTAGGAGCAGGTGGCGGGCGGAGTCCAGATCTCAAGTTGTACATGGAGTAAGAGCTTCATTGGACAAGAAAAACACAGAAGATGCTGATGACGGGGAAGGATTTGGCCGATTGTCATGGGAAAATCATATTATTAGAAGGTTTAGCAAGACCTCTGTGTGCCGTCGAGCTTCCCAGTGCTGTATGAATGTGAGTTTGTGGACACACTTCCCACCGCATTGCTCCAGCTGTTAAGTCAGCGTGTGCGGTTGCTCCAAGCCTTTGGTTGCAACCAGACAACTTAGTGCCAGCGTCTGCGTAGTTGGATGTAAAAGGATAAGAAGATGCCTGCTATTCTAGTTGCCTCCAAGATGAAGTCGGGATTGCCCAAACCTGTGCATGGCACTGCTCTACCCATTCCAGCCAGGGTAGCGACCCACCAGAATGGACCTCTGAAGCCTGTGCAGCCCACCCTCATCCCACTGAAGTCTCCCATCTACAGGCAGCAAAGTCAAGGCAGTGCGACTTTACAGAAAAAGTACCAGACCACCAAAGAAACATCTAAAGACCCTCAGGTTGGAACGCTGATGCTTAATTTGTATGTGGCTTTGTGGTTGCATTGATTCTTGTTCTATTAGATGATCTTCCTTTGATAGTTTAATTCCACACAAACAGTTGAATTCTTAGTTTATACTAATAATAATAAAAAATAGTAATGAATTAAGATTGCTCATTTTTGCTTATTTTTCTCTTCATGGTACCATAGATTGACCACATCAAAAATAATATCTACTACAGTTTTTTTCCTCATAATTGCATTTTTTTTTTATGTCAGAATGACTTTATATCTCAGAATTGCAACCTTGTTTCTCATGATTGCAGCTTTATATCTCGCAATGTGACTCACAATTACGCCTTTGTTTCTCATAACTGCGACTTTATATCTCACAATTTCGACTTTTCCTTGTACTTGCAACTTTATCCCCCGGTTCCACAGACCAGGCTTAAACCTAGTCCCAGACTAAAATGTAAGTCTGGGTTGTTTCAACTGAAAGAAACGTGCACTGATTGATCTTAAAATATGTCAGTGCCGTTGTTTTGTCTTAAGAGGCACACCAGTAATGTTTTTTTCTAAGGCATGTTTATAAAAATTACTTAAATGTCCTAATTGAACTATGGCCTAATCCTGGATTAGTCTAAACCCTGTCTGTGAAGCCAGGCAATGTGACTTTGTTTCTTATACTTGCAACTTTATATCTTGCAACGTGACTTTGTTTCTCGTAATTGTAACTTCATATCTCGGAAATGTACCTAGAATGAGAAACAAAGCCCCTTTATATCTTGCAATGTGACTTTGTTTCTCATAATTGCTACTTTATATTTTGCAATGTGACAATATCTTACAAGTGCAACTTTGTTTCTGATACTTGTGACTTTATCATGCTATTTGATTTTGTTTTATGTAATTGCGACTTTCTCTTAAAATGATCATAATCCTGACATTTTATGTCCCAGTTGCAACTTTGTTTCTCATACTTGCGACTTTATATTTCACAATTATGACTTTGTTTCTCATAATTGACTGTATCTCAAAACAGTGGCTTTTTTCTCAAAATTGCAACTTTATATCTCACAATTGCAGCAATAAAGATCACAACATGGCTTATTTCTCTTAGTAAAGACTTTTTGTCAAAGCTGTGACTTTGTCTCACAGTATGACTTGATATCTCACAATTACTTTTTTGTTTCTCGTAATTGTGAATTTATATCTCGCAATGTAACAGAAAAAAACGACTGAATATTTTTGTAGTTTGTCATGTTGTAATTCAAACTTTGCTGACTAAAGCTTGTTTATGCATCGTACCCATATTCCACCATGACTTGACCTGCAACAACTGTATGAATACCACTATGCCACAATATGTGTGTCAGTTGTATTCATGTTTTAGAAACCGTTTCGCTTTGGCCACATTACCACCATTGTGACTACTGTTTGTAAAGCTCCCCGCTGAAAGCTCATGTGTTTATATATTTACATGTTCAAAATATTATGCTTTATAAGAATAGATCCTGCTGACCTGGTCAGAGCAAATCGTCAGTAAAAATGCAATGTTCTTCCTTTGGTCCGCGGCAGCAGTGTGCAAGTTCATGTCTGTGTACACATGTGTTTATATAGCTTCATACGTTCAGTGGAGCCTTGAAGGCAGCGAAGAGCCAAGTTCTTCATGTGGCATGGAAAAGCTCAGCCGGTTGGCCTGTAATTACAGCGCACATGCACACATAGACACGGTCATGGAGGTTTTACTACAGTGCTCCATTAGTAGCGGTGAGCCGCGCTGCAGGTGGGCATTTGGCCATATGGATGCCACACACACCAATCCCAGAGGCCAATAGAGTGGGCACCCTTCATCAAACACTGCTACTAATATACTACTATGCCCTTACACTGCACCTCTGTCTCTCTTTGTTCTGGCCAGGAAGCTGGAAAATGCTTCACTTTAAAGAAAATGGTACTGAATGTGTTTTGGGACAGTGCTGGTGTAAGGATTAGGTTGCTGTTTCAGACACGGTTGACTGCCTTGTAAAACAACGTGACGATTGCAGTTACTAGTTGTTAAATATCTGCTTTTTGTTTTTGGAAATTATGGAAATAACCAAAAAAGACAAAGAATGGAAAGTCTATTACATAAGTTTAGGGACCAGTTTTTGCTCTCAAAATTGTCCTACACAAATTGAATTCTTGTTTTTATTGAACTGATCTTGAAACTTAAATGGAGTGTGGCAGGTTTGCTCTGTTTTACAAAAAGTGCTTTGGTGGTACCATAGTTTGGTTTACTGATTTGGTGTGAATTTACCATAGTACTTTGATTTAAGTACTATATAATTACTGTAATCATACTGAAATTTTGTATTTACATGGTACTCCAAGTCTGTGATACTTCAACGGAATGCCAAATGTAAATGTGTAACAAAACCATGGTAATACCATAGTACTTTTTTGGGGGAAGTATCTTGTTTTTATCAGTACTGATACTTTTAACTATAACTATTAAAAACTGGTTTCAGTACTTGAAATGAAGCTAAAATAAAATGTAAACATTAGATGAAAAACTTTTTTAAAAACTTTTTAAAAAATTAATTAATTAAAAATGTAATTTAAAAAATAAGTGAGTTAAAATAGAAATGAAGTTATATAGAATCATTTAAAAATAATAAAAATGACAAAAGCACATAACAAAATTACAAACAAATATATAAAAAATTAATTACTAAAAATAAATGTTATGTCAAAATATGAATAAATACTATAATAGTTTATAAATAATACTAAAATATGTAACTTGACACAAAACACTACCAGGTGGTTATTTATTTATTTATTTGCTATGATTGATTTGTTTGTTAGTTTCTGAACAGTTCTTATAAGAACAGATTAAGTATTAACCTGATACTTTAGTATTATGATAGATAAAGTATCAACCTGATACTTGATCAATATGCTTTTCAAGTTATAAAAATGACTGTGAGGTCTTTTAGACCCCAAACAGAACATGATGTATATAAACACTAATGTGGTCAGGTGTGTTAAATGTGCTATATTTGTTCTAATGTTGTTACATTAACCACGTAATGCTTGTTCATGTTAACATTAAACCTGGCTACGCATAGCTCTTCCCCTATGTTTTTATTATTCGAGATTATTATTCCCACATGTTGTCCACCGCAGCCTAGAGGTTTTGTTCACAGCGAATGGGTGGAGTGATTCTCCAGGCTCTGTGGTCACAAATGCAAACAACCCCCTGCAGATCTCACAAGGAGACTCTGTATTAAAATCAGCAGTGGCTCCAGTTTTAAATGGCCCATGTTTGACTGATATGCATCATGTGCAGTCACACCAGTTCTTATTTATATGTACTGTATGTCGCATTTAGACCCATTTAGACATAACTAGACCAGCAACAAAACACCCACAAACCTTTATTTCTGACCTCTAGTGTTAGTCAGAGACTAGGGTCCTGTTGAGACTGTGCTGCCTCCCAATGCTCACTTTGTGTGGTTGCATGACAGTTATGGAGAAAAAGTCATCAGGTACACTCTAAAAAATGCTGGGTTCAAAACAACCCAATAGCTGGGTTTGTCCCTTTTTAACCCAACGCCGGGTTATATTTAACCCAGCATTTTTTTGAGTGTATGTTTGGAATGGCATAATACCATAGTACACGTATGTTCTGTATGCATAAAAAGACCCAATTCATTCTTTATTACAACCAGAACTAACTGCATGGGATATTATGTCACAAAATGCATTGTGCTTAACTTGATCTACCATTTTTGACAGTGAATGATCCAAAAGCAATAGCAACCATAATTTTTGTCATCTTTGTCCTGTCTCATTGTTTGATCAGACTGCCATTACTTTCTATTTATAATTTTAAAAATATTTGTAAAATATACTTTTAAAATATTTATTAAAATAACAACAGCAGTTATAATAATCAGATTTTCAGTTTAATAATTAATTTAATAAAAAATTAATTTGAATAAAAATCAGACTGCCATTTTTCCATTTGTGTATATTTAAATATTTTTTTAAATTTTTATTCATTTAAAAACAACAATTATAATATTCAATCATTTATAATTTGTGTACATTTGTTAAAAAAAATAATATATATATATAAATATATATTATAAAATATTAATTATTACTATCATTATTGCTATTATTATTAGCATATTTTTAATAGTTTTAATCCAAAAAGAATTGGATTAAAAATTGTAAATATTCAAATATGTTCCTAAAGATATCATACTACTGATTGCATACTGTTTCACATGCTATATTTTCCCAAAATATTAGGCAATATATACCATATACTGTACATTATGAAGTATTACCTTACATTTTGCTCTTAAACCATTTTAATAATCATTTGTACAGTCTGGTTTTCCAGACCTTTTTGACAACCTTCTTATATTAATTTTCCTGAAAATTTCCCTGTTTTCACTCCAATATTTAAATGGTAGCTTATGGACCACAGTGTGGCATTTGTCTTTCATCCATGTAAAATCGGAACCCAGAGTTAGATGTTAAGTGCCTTTTCCTCATTCAGTCTCTTTCTATTTTTCTTTGAATTAATAGATTTATACAGATTGGGCCAACCACTATCTAGCCAAGTCCGGACACACACGCCTGATTAAAGACCTCCAACGGGATGTTGCCGATGGCGTTTTGTTGGCAGAAATCATTCAGGTTGTAGGTAAGATTAAAGATTAAAAAAAAAGATTTTACATAATTCAACAAATCCCCCTTCTTCCTTAAGAAAAAAATTAATACATCAAACCTACAATTTTGCTCCACCATACCGGTAATTCTAACCATAATGAGGAGGTTGAGGAGGAGGACTGGGAAAGAAATGAACACACATGACTATCAAGAAAACTCCCCACCTTTATTATTCTGAATGTGTTTTGAAGCTGTTTTATGAGAACTGTTTCTGAAAAGGGGCGATTTGTAGATGGTTTATGAGGCTACAAACTGGGCTGTGAACATTTTATTAAGCCGAAATAAAATAAACATTTGCTGTTCCTGGAAACAGGATTCCTGTTGTACATACAAAAGCCAGTCGATGATGTTTTCATAAAACCAACAAACAGTAATAAAATGGTGTTACTTTAATTCAGTGCCATTCATTTTTTTTCATCTTTCCATTCAGCAAATGAGAAGATTACCGATATCAACGGATTCCCAGAGAGTCGCTCTCAAATGGTAAGACTCAAAATTGGTTTATTGCCATTTCTGTCCTGCATGTTGGGAAAAGAAACAAACCACAGACTGTCAAACTCCAAAACAGACATAAAAAGCACCATAAATATATTTCATACGGCATGTGCTCAATATGGTTTCGTTTGAGTGCACTGAAGTTTAATCCTTATATATCCTACTGTATCATATAATCATGTAATTTCTAAATCATCAACATGATCAAAACTTTGCTGGAAAGCTTGTTGTACACAATCTGCTACATTCTTTCTGTCGTCGTAATGACAATTTATACTTTTTTTAGCAAGTAAAAGGCCTTTTAGTATAATTCTAATAACGTCTCCATTCATAAAACAATGCATAAAGCTAAGCATTTAAAAACCATCTAAAACATTATTGGGAGATATAGAGTGACAATTGATATTTATGTGCATTTTATCCAAGAACTAAACTGCTTCATCTTACTTTTTGGCAGTTTAAATAACAACATCTGCACCAGGAGGTTTTACTACAGTGCTCCATTAGTAGCGGTGAGCCGCGCTGCAGGTGGGCATTTGGCCATATGGATGCCACACACACCAATCCCAGAGGCCAATAGAGTGGGCACCCTTCATCAAACACTGCTACTAATATACTACTATGCCCTTACACTGCACCTCTGTCTCTCTTTGTTCTGGCCAGGAAGCTGGAAAATGCTTCACTTTAAAGAAAATGGTACTGAATGTGTTTTGGGACAGTGCTGGTGTAAGGATTAGGTTGCTGTTTCAGACACGGTTGACTGCCTTGTAAAACAACGTGACGATTGCAGTTACTAGTTGTTAAATATCTGCTTTTTGTTTTTGGAAATTATGGAAATAACCAAAAAAGACAAAGAATGGAAAGTCTATTACATAAGTTTAGGGACCAGTTTTTGCTCTCAAAATTGTCCTACACAAATTGAATTCTTGTTTTTATTGAACTGATCTTGAAACTTAAATGGAGTGTGGCAGGTTTGCTCTGTTTTACAAAAAGTGCTTTGGTGGTACCATAGTTTGGTTTACTGATTTGGTGTGAATTTACCATAGTACTTTGATTTAAGTACTATATAATTACTGTAATCATACTGAAATTTTGTATTTACATGGTACTCCAAGTCTGTGATACTTCAACGGAATGCCAAATGTAAATGTGTAACAAAACCATGGTAATACCATAGTACTTTTTTGGGGGAAGTATCTTGTTTTTATCAGTACTGATACTTTTAACTATAACTATTAAAAACTGGTTTCAGTACTTGAAATGAAGCTAAAATAAAATGTAAACATTAGATGAAAAACTTTTTTAAAAACTTTTTAAAAAATTAATTAATTAAAAATGTAATTTAAAAAATAAGTGAGTTAAAATAGAAATGAAGTTATATAGAATCATTTAAAAATAATAAAAATGACAAAAGCACATAACAAAATTACAAACAAATATATAAAAAATTAATTACTAAAAATAAATGTTATGTCAAAATATGAATAAATACTATAATAGTTTATAAATAATACTAAAATATGTAACTTGACACAAAACACTACCAGGTGGTTATTTATTTATTTATTTGCTATGATTGATTTGTTTGTTAGTTTCTGAACAGTTCTTATAAGAACAGATTAAGTATTAACCTGATACTTTAGTATTATGATAGATAAAGTATCAACCTGATACTTGATCAATATGCTTTTCAAGTTATAAAAATGACTGTGAGGTCTTTTAGACCCCAAACAGAACATGATGGATATAAACACTAATGTGGTCAGGTGTGTTAAATGTGCTATATTTGTTCTAATGTTGTTACATTAACCACGTAATGCTTGTTCATGTTAACATTAAACCTGGCTACGCATAGCTCTTCCCCTATGTTTTTATTATTCGAGATTATTATTCCCACATGTTGTCCACCGCAGCCTAGAGGTTTTGTTCACAGCGAATGGGTGGAGTGATTCTCCAGGCTCTGTGGTCACAAATGCAAACAACCCCCTGCAGATCTCACAAGGAGACTCTGTATTAAAATCAGCAGTGGCTCCAGTTTTAAATGGCCCATGTTTGACTGATATGCATCATGTGCAGTCACACCAGTTCTTATTTATATGTACTGTATGTCGCATTTAGACCCATTTAGACATAACTAGACCAGCAACAAAACACCCACAAACCTTTATTTCTGACCTCTAGTGTTAGTCAGAGACTAGGGTCCTGTTGAGACTGTGCTGCCTCCCAATGCTCACTTTGTGTGGTTGCATGACAGTTATGGAGAAAAAGTCATCAGGTACACTCTAAAAAATGCTGGGTTCAAAACAACCCAATAGCTGGGTTTGTCCCTTTTTAACCCAACGCCTACACAAATTGAATTCTTGTTTTTATTGAACTGATCTTGAAACTTAAATGGAGTGTGGCAGGGTTGCTCTGTTTTACAAAAAGTGCTTTGGTGGTACCATAGTTTGGTTTACTGATTTGGTGTGAATTTACCATAGTACTTTGATTTAAGTACTATATAATTACTGTAATCATACTGAAATTTTGTATTTACATGGTACTCCAAGTCTGTGATACTTCAACGGAATGCCAAATGTAAATGTGTAACAAAACCATGGTAATACCATAGTACTTTTTTGGGGGAAGTATCTTGTTTTTAACTACAACTATTAAAAACTGGTTTCAGTACTTGAAATGAAGCTAAAATAAAATGTAAACATTAGATGAAAAACTTTTTAAAAAACTTTTTAAAAAATTAATTAATTAAAAATGTAATTTAAAAAATAAGTGAGTTAAAATAGAAATGAAGTTATATAGAATCATTTAAAAATAATAAAAATGACAAAAGCACATAACAAAATTACAAACAAATATATAAAAAATTAATTACTAAAAATAAATGTTATGTCAAAATATGAATAAATACTATAATAGTTTATAAATAATACTAAAATATGTAACTTGACACAAAACACTACCAGGTGGTTATTTATTTATTTATTTGCTATGATTGATTTGTTTGTTAGTTTCTGAACAGTTCTTATAAGAGCAGATTAAGTATTAACCTGATACTTTAGTATTATGATAGATAAAGTATCAACCTGATACTTGATCAATATGCTTTTCAAGTTATAAAAATGACTGTGAGGTCTTTTAGACCCCAAACAGAACATGATGGATATAAACACTAATGTGGTCAGGTGTGTTAAATGTGCTATATTTGTTCTAATGTTGTTACATTAACCACGTAATGCTTGTTCATGTTAACATTAAACCTGGCTACGCATAGCTCTTCCCCTATGTTTTTATTATTCGAGATTATTATTCCCACATGTTGTCCACCGCAGCCTAGAGGTTTTGTTCACAGCGAATGGGTGGAGTGATTCTCCAGGCTCTGTGGTCACAAATGCAAACAACCCCCTGCAGATCTCACAAGGAGTCTCTGTATTAAAATCAGCAGTGGCTCCAGTTTTAAATGGCCCATGTTTGACTGATATGCATCATGTGCAGTCACACCAGTTCTTATTTATATGTACTGTATGTCGCATTTAGACCCATTTAGACATAACTAGACCAGCAACAAAACACCCACAAACCTTTATTTCTGACCTCTAGTGTTAGTCAGAGACTAGGGTCCTGTTGAGACTGTGCTGCCTCCCAATGCTCACTTTGTGTGGTTGCATGACAGTTATGGAGAAAAAGTCATCAGGTACACTCTAAAAAATGCTGGGTTCAAAACAACCCAATAGCTGGGTTTGTCCCTTTTTAACCCAACGCCGGGTTATATTTAACCCAGCATTTTTTTGAGTGTATGTTTGGAATGGAAGCACATAACAAAATTACAAACAAATATATAAAAAATTAATTACTAAAAATAAATGTTATGTCAAAATATGAATAAATACTATAATAGTTTATAAATAATACTAAAATATGTAACTGTTGACACAAAACACTACCAGGTGGTTATTTATTTATTTATTTGCTATGATTGATTTGTTTGTTAGTTTCTGAACAGTTCTTATAAGAACAGATTAAGTATTAACCTGATACTTTAGTATTATGATAGATAAAGTATCAACCTGATACTTGATCAATATGCTTTTCAAGTTATAAAAATGACTGTGAGGTCTTTTAGACCCCAAACAGAACTCTCTGTATTAAAATCAGCAGTGGCTCCAGTTTTAAATGGCCCATGTTTGACTGATATGCATCATGTGCAGTCACACCAGTTCTTATTTATATGTACTGTATGTCGCATTTAGACCCATTTAGACATAACTAGACCAGCAACAAAACACCCTCAAACCTTTATTTCTGACCTCTAGTGTTAGTCAGAGACTAGGGTCCTGTTGAGACTGTGCTGCCTCCCAATGCTCACTTTGTGTGGTTGCATGACAGTTATGGAGAAAAAGTCATCAGGTACACTCTAAAAAATGCTGGGTTCAAAACAACCCAATAGCTGGGTTTGTCCCTTTTTAACCCAGCATTTTTTAGAGTGTAGTGGTTAAAGTGGTTGAAAAATATCCAACTCTGTATTAAAATCAGCAGTGGCTCCAGTTTTAAATGGCCCATGTTTGACTGATATGCATCATGTGCAGTCACACCAGTTCTTATTTATATGTACTGTATGTCGCATTTAGACCCATTTAGACATAACTAGACCAGCAACAAAACACCCACAAACCTTTATTTCTGACCTCTAGTGTTAGTCAGAGACTAGGGTCCTGTTGAGACTGTGCTGCCTCCCAATGCTCACTTTGTGTGGTTGCATGACAGTTATGGAGAAAAAGTCATCAGGTACACTCTAAAAAATGCTGGGTACAAAACAACCCAATAGCTGGGTTTGTCCCTTTTTAACCCAACGCCGGGTTATATTTAACCCAGCATTTTTTTGAGTGTATGTTTGGAATGGCATAATACCATAGTACACGTATGTTCTGTATGCATAAAAAGACCCAATTCATTCTTTATTACAACCAGAACTAACTGCATGGGATATTATGTCACAAAATGCATTGTGCTTAACTTGATCTACCATTTTTGACAGTGAATGATCCAAAAGCAATAGCAACCATAATTTTTGTCATCTTTGTCCTGTCTCATTGTTTGATCAGACTGCCATTACTTTCTATTTATAATTTTAAAAATATTTGTAAAATATACTTTTAAAATATTTATTAAAATAACAACAGCAGTTATAATAATCAGATTTTCAGTTTAATAATTAATTTAATTAAAAATTAATTTGAATAAAAATCAGACTGCCATTTTTCCATTTGTGTATATTTAAATATTTTTTTAAATTTTTATTCATTTAAAAACAACAATTATAATATTCAATCATTTATAATTTGTGTACATTTGTTAAAAAAAATAATATATATATATAAATATATATTATAAAATATTAATTATTACTATCATTATTGCTATTATTATTAGCATATTTTTAATAGTTTTAATCCAAAAAGAATTGGATTAAAAATTGTAAATATTCAAATATGTTCCTAAAGATATCATACTACTGATTGCATACTGTTTCACATGCTATATTTTCCCAAAATATTAGGCAATATATACCATATACTGTACATTATGAAGTATTACCTTACATTTTGCTCTTAAACCATTTTAATAATCATTTGTACAGTCTGGTTTTCCAGACCTTTTTGACAACCTTCTTATATTAATTTTCCTGAAAATTTCCCTGTTTTCACTCCAATATTTAAATGGTAGCTTATGGACCACAGTGTGGCATTTGTCTTTCATCCATGTAAAATCGGAACCCAGAGTTAGATGTTAAGTGCCTTTTCCTCATTCAGTCTCTTTCTATTTTTCTTTGAATTAATAGATTTATACAGATTGGGCCAACCACTATCTAGCCAAGTCCGGACACACACGCCTGATTAAAGACCTCCAACGGGATGTTGCCGATGGCGTTTTGTTGGCAGAAATCATTCAGGTTGTAGGTAAGATTAAAGATTAAAAAAAAAGATTTTACATAATTCAACAAATCCCCCTTCTTCCTTAAGAAAAAAATTAATACATCAAACCTACAATTTTGCTCCACCATACCGGTAATTCTAACCATAATGAGGAGGTTGAGGAGGAGGACTGGGAAAGAAATGAACACACATGACTATCAAGAAAACTCCCCACCTTTATTATTCTGAATGTGTTTTGAAGCTGTTTTATGAGAACTGTTTCTGAAAAGGGGCGATTTGTAGATGGTTTATGAGGCTACAAACTGGGCTGTGAACATTTTATTAAGCCGAAATAAAATAAACATTTGCTGTTCCTGGAAACAGGATTCCTGTTGTACATACAAAAGCCAGTCGATGATGTTTTCATAAAACCAACAAACAGTAATAAAATGGTGTTACTTTAATTCAGTGCCATTCATTTTTTTTCATCTTTCCATTCAGCAAATGAGAAGATTACCGATATCAACGGATTCCCAGAGAGTCGCTCTCAAATGGTAAGACTCAAAATTGGTTTATTGCCATTTCTGTCCTGCATGTTGGGAAAAGAAACAAACCACAGACTGTCAAACTCCAAAACAGACATAAAAAGCACCATAAATATATTTCATACGGCATGTGCTCAATATGGTTTCGTTTGAGTGCACTGAAGTTTAATCCTTATATATCCTACTGTATCATATAATCATGTAATTTCTAAATCATCAACATGATCAAAACTTTGCTGGAAAGCTTGTTGTACACAATCTGCTACATTCTTTCTGTCGTCGTAATGACAATTTATACTTTTTTTAGCAAGTAAAAGGCCTTTTAGTATAATTCTAATAACGTCTCCATTCATAAAACAATGCATAAAGCTAAGCATTTAAAAACCATCTAAAACATTATTGGGAGATATAGAGTGACAATTGATATTTATGTGCATTTTATCCAAGAACTAAACTGCTTCATCTTACTTTTTGGCAGTTTAAATAACAACATCTGCACCAATTCGCATATTTTTGCTCAGTTTGGGCCCCTGAATAAATTATAGGTGTTTTTTCTCATTCTCTAGTATAAGCTCCTTATATTGTCCTACATCATACTTATGAGTCATAAAAGCTTATATCAAATATGATACTCAACAAAAAACAGGTTTTACAGGGTTAAGTTCCTTTTCGCTGAAAATCTTCCATTTATGTAAAAAAATATACATGACTTAATATGAGGATTAGTAAATGATGACAGTGTTTTCATTTTTGCGTGAACTGTCCCTTTAAGAAACAACCTCAGTGAGGACAATGGCGCAGGTCTTGTTGACCTTAAAACCCTGGTGTTAACCAGCGTGCTATAGTCTGTCAACTCACCAGTGGTCAGGATATACATTGTAATGTCACAGGAACACCACAGGACTGACCTACGGGGTTGTAAACCACAAATCTACCCTATTGAGCACCATCTGTTGGGTTATATTCCCTGTATGCCTGAGTGTAGTGTGCAAACCAGCCATGGCTGGGGTCACATTTTCCGAGGAGCAATTTAAAAATGGGCTATTAGGCTTGATTTCAGACAGCAAGCTCTTGATGTATGTCCATGCTTTTCTCTTAAACAGATTGAGAACATTGATGCCTGTCTGGGCTTCCTGGCTGCTAAAGGGGTGAACATAAAGGGACTTTGTGCCGAAGGTCAGTGGACTCTGAACTAAACCAGTGGCCATTAATATTTGAAACAAGATGTCAGCAAGATTCTTTTCTTTTTCTTCCAAACCACAGAGATCCGTAATGGCAATCTGAAGGCTATTTTAGGCTTGTTCTTCACTCTGTCACGCTTCCGGCAGCAGCAGACTTTGAAACAGGCCTCCAACAATGTTCAGTTGCTCCAGAACAACCAGACCCACCGATGTGCCAGTCCTGGCCTGCCTCCTCACACTCCTCCCTGTAGCGCTCCCTGTCCTTCTCCCATCTACCAACACTACACCTCCTCCCCATGTGCACAGAAACCACAGACAGACCTGCAGTCCAGGTATTATTCTCCAACTCATATTCTAGATAGCTTCTTCATAGACGTAGACTCCATAGCAGATGGATTGACACATCAATAATCAACTTTTAAACTTAAAATAATTAGGATGGAGAAAAATTTATTTTATTTTGTTTTGTTTTGTTTCGAATACATTGTCATGAGAAAATGTTCTTCTTGTTGCATTAGACTTGGTGTGACCATAGTTCTTAAAGAGGCCAGCATATTACATTTTGAAATCATTACACTTCTGATTGTGTAAATTGTGTAAATATTGCATTCAATTTGGTATACTTTAAGATTCTTTTAAACTACTCTTTATAGCTTTTTTAACTTTTTACACTCTCAACATTTCTAACAAGTAACATTTCATTTCCATTTCTAACTTTCCAGTTCTGTTATTTCCAGTGTTATTTTAGTATTATTTTGTATAAGCTATTATAATATTTATTAATATTTTGAATTAGCTTTTATTTTTGTGTTTTCAATTTTGATTTAAATGTTTATAATTTTATTTGTGCTTATGTAATTTTAATTTTGTTTAATTTTGCTTTATTTTTATTTCAGTTTCAGTTTTAGTCATTTTAATATTTCCACTTAAACTTATTTTATGTCAGTTAATTGCCAGGGCAACAGTTTTTTACATTTTTAATCCAATATTTATGTCATATTCTATAATTTATCAGCTTTATTTCAATTAACCATTTTTTAAAAATAGTTTTAGTTTTAGTTAACAGTAACAACACTGGTTATTTCTTCTTAACAATTAACACTTCTATTCTGTCCATCCCTTTCTCTTTCTCTTTCGTTTTTCTCTTGATCTTGAAGTCATCCATCGAAAGGCTCCAACCAGAAAAAAGCTGTCAGACTCTCAGTTGCTCAGAAAAAGAACTCTAGGTCAGCTTTCCATGTTTCTGTATCAAACTTATTTACCTCTCCTTGTCCTCCCATTATATTATTACACCACAGCACCATCTACTGGTGATCTTGTGATTCCACACAATCCAATCTTGTGTCATCAGGTCTAAAAAAGCATGTGGATCCCTTCAATAGTCATTTTGTTCTCGTTCATTTGATCAGATGTGGACTCAGGTCTCTGAGGTTTATTTATATAATTGGCACTCCAGTCTTGTGTTTTAGCAGCATAAATAGTTATTGTTTGAAGAGAAAGGATGAGTTTGTTCTGACTGAACTCTGTCAGGCTTCTGAGTCCCTCGGGGAGGGCGGGCGGAGAGAGTAAACCTCGAACCTCAAACACCAACAGACGCAGCCAAAGCTTCAACCAATGTGACCGATTAAAGCCATCCATCTCTGCCTGCGTTCATGAAAGAGGTGAGTTAATCACATTCCTTTACACAATCTGAAATGATCCATGTGGTTTATGTAAGAGCATGTGAGCAGTTGTTTGGCAAAAGCTGTTATTAAGTGTGTATATTTATTACAAGAAAAATCATCTTGCTCAATAGCCCAATAAATTGCTCATTGAGGGATTCAAACCTATAACCTTTCACCCAGATCTTTAACCACTATGCCACAACACCCGTGAATTTAGAAGGCTTACATGTGGAAAATTGTAGAGATTTATCAGAATTTACCTTGCTCAACTTGGTAAAAAAAAAAAACAGAAAATAACATTTATATTTATAATTAAATATATTATTTTTAAATAATTACTATTTGTTTCAGAATATAAAACTGGTATTTTTAAAATGTAAATATATTACTTAAAACCTATATTTAATTTTTTAGAAAACGGAATTTGTAAATATGTAAATGCTTAGAAAGAAACATACAAAAAATTTTTTTTTTGAACTGTTATTGGACACTTTTCAATAGTTTTTTTTCAGTATTTTCATTTGAACATTTTTCTTGCTCAGAATGAGTGATCTAAACCATCCACCCTCGATTTGTTCAATCTGGGTGTTGGGTAACTGCTCCTAACGTTCACAGTTTTATGATTCTGTAATTGCATGCTGTGTTGTTGACACATTTTTGGCCCACTGTTGTTTCATTATGGCAGGCTCGGTTTACTTCACCATTGAGTTATTTAGGGTGGTAACCCCTCTAACATGTCACATAGTTGAGTGACTCAGAATATGTGGATTTCTGTATTCAAACCATATTCATAAAACCATATAAAGCAATTTTCCCTGTTTGCACAAATGCACACGCAACTATTTGTTTCAGAATATAAAACTGGTATTTTTAAAATGTAAATATATTACTTAAAACCTATATTTAATTTTTTAGAAAACGGAATTTGTAAATATGTAAATGCTTAGAAAGAAACATACAAAAACAATTTTTTTGAACTGTTATTGGACACTTTTCAATAGTTTTTTTTCAGTATTTTCATTTGAACATTTTTCTTGCTCAGAATGAGTGATCTAAACCATCCACCCTCGATTTGTTCAATCTGGGTGTTGGGTAACTGCTCCTAACGTTCACAGTTTTATGATTCTGTAATTGCATGCTGTGTTGTTGACACATTTTTGGCCCACTGTTGTTTCATTATGGCAGGCTCGGTTTACTTCACCATTGAGTTATTTAGGGTGGTAACCCCTCTAACATGTCACATAGTTGAGTGACTCAGAATATGTGGATTTCTGTATTCAAACCATATTCATAAAACCATATAAAGCAATTTTCCCTGTTTGCACAAATGCACACGCATGATGTACATGTCTGTGTGTGGTTTGTATGGACTCTCAGCTGCATGCTGCTGGCTCTGGTATGGTGATGATGATGATGATGATGAGGCGTTTACTGCTCACTGATTCAGCTCTAATTAGTGTGCTTGTGGCAAAACCAGAAGAAGAAGCAGAGAGAGAGAAAAAAGTCGGTGATCATGACAAAACTTTGATTGAGCAGTTAGGAAGACATGCAAGGAAGATGAGACTGTTATGAATTTTGCTCAGACTGCCTGTAAGGTAAGCACTGCTAAACTGAGTTTTCATGCAGCAGGCTGGTAAATAACTTCATAATTAAATAAAACATACAAGGGAAGCCACCATTTTAGCAGTGCAGGGAAATGACATTGATTTTCCACTGATGAAATTAGGGAAATATTGAATGAGGGTTTGGTTTCATCACATGCTAAATTTTCCATGCTGATTTAATATAATATAATATGTAATGTAAGCTTTAAAAGTAGTTTTAATGATTGTTAGTCACATGAAAAACGGTGCCTTGGAAATTATGTTTGTATTTAACCAAATAATCAATTTCTTAAATATCAAGAAATGCTTCACAGTCAGTCTCCTTTTTTTAAACGGCATGGTTTTATGTAGAAAAGAAATATTAATACATCACATCACATACTTCAAATATTCCTCTTCATAGTTCATGCTTCCTTTTCTTAGCACTTCATCCAGTACGCTCTCATATTTTCAAACTCCCACAGGCATCACACTAGCTAATGTCGATGTGCAACAGCTTGACTACATTTGCTAGTGTTTGACAGATTTGACCCACGCCTGCAACAAATGAAATAAACCTATATAAACGTATCTGTAGACATATTTACAGGCATCACACTAGCTAATGTCGACAGCTTGACTACATTTGCTAGTGTTTGACAGATTTGACCCACGCCTGCAACAAATGAAATAGACCTATATAAACGTATCTGTAGACATATTTTTTGTATACTGGTGTGAGGATCCATGTCTTAACCTACCCCGTTCAGCATTCTCCATGTTGGTTGTGAATTGTCTGCTGTCTGGTTGTAAACTATGATACAATCATACACTGCTGCAAAAACATGTTGCTAAAATATCTTCTATCTATCTTTTTCATGTTTCCAATGTAAAATATTTTATCATGTTTACAAACAAATAGAAATGTACAAATTAAGATTATCATTTGCAGGTCCCATTTGCAGTGAAACCAAAAATCCCAGAACACCTGGATGATTACAGCTGGTTTCCAATAGTAGCACAGATCCAACTACCATTTCAATTATTTGTTTTTATGCTCTTCTGTTACCTTTTAAGTTTTGAAACTGTCATCTTCTGGCAATGAATGAAGTAAAGTTCATCACCATATCAGTGGCCTAATAAACTGTTATTCTCTGTCATCTGTTCTTTGAACATGTGTTGCACTGTACCTGGATGATACACGATGATCATTGATAAAAATGCATGGATTTAATATAATATAATATGTAATGTAAGCTTTAAAAGTAGTTTTAATGATTGTTAGTCACATGAAAAACGGTGCCTTGGAAATTATGTTTGTATTTAACCAAATAATCAATTTCTTAAATATCAAGAAATGCTTCACAGTCAGTCTCCTTTTTTTAAACGGCATGGTTTTATGTAGAAAAGAAATATTAATACATCACATCACATACTTCAAATATTCCTCTTCATAGTTCATGCTTCCTTTTCTTAGCACTTCATCCAGTACGCTCTCATATTTTCAAACTCCTACAGGCATCACACTAGCTAATGTCGACAGCTTGACTACATTTGCTAGTGTTTGACAGATTTGACCCACGCCTGCAACAAATGAAATAGACCTATATAAACGTATCTGTAGACATATTTTTTGTATACTGGTGTGAGGATCCATGTCTTAACCTACCCCGTTCAGCATTCTCCATGTTGGTTGTGAATTGTCTGCTGTCTGGTTGTAAACTATGATACAATCATACACTGCTGCAAAAACATGTTGCTAAAATATCTTCTATCTATCTTTTTCATGTTTCCAATGTAAAATATTTTAACGTTTACAAACAAATAGAAATTTACAAATTAAGATTATCACAAGGTTTAAGGTCCCATTTGCAGTGAAACCAAAAATCCCAGAACACCTGGATGATTACAGCTGGTTTCCAATAGTAGCACAGATCCAACTACCATTTCAATTATTTGTTTTTATGCTCTTCTGTTACCTTTTAAGTTTTGAAACTGTCATCTTCTGGCAATGAATGAAGTAAAGTTCATCACCATATCAGTGGCCTAATAAACTTTTTGCAACCTACACTACTGTTATTCTCTGTCATCTGTTCTTTGAACATGTGTTGCACTGTACCTGGATGATACACGATGATCATTGATAAAAATGCATGGTCTATTTTGATGCACAACAAACACTCGTGCAACATTATTTATAGGCTAAGTCATAAGCATTTATATATTCTTAATTAGGCTTTCTTGTTGTTTTTATGTTTTTTACATAAATTGTTCCCTCCTGGTGGAATTACCTGCCCAACTCAATCCGAGCATCTTCAAGAATCGGCTAAAAACACATCCCTTTCATCTTTATTTGACCCTTTAACTCTAGCACTCTATTCTAATTCTATTTTATCTATTTGTTGACTTGACCTTATATATTCTTAATTAGGCTTTCTTTTTTTGTTTTTTTACATAAATTGTTCCCTCCTGGTGGAATTACCTGCCCAACTCAATCCGAGCATCTTCAAGAATCGGCTAAAAACACATCCCTTTCATCTTTATTTGACCCTTTAACTCTAGCACTCTATTCTAATTCTATTTTATCTATTTGTTGACTTGACCCTCTAACACTTGCACTCTATTTGTTTTCCAACTGCTTTTCTTAAAAAAAAGGCCTCTAACACTAGCTTTCTCTATTCCTTTTCCATTCTATCTACTTGTTTTCTTTTTGTTATGTATATGTATGTGTAAAGCGTCTGCTAAATGACTACATACATACAACATGCATGCATAAATAAATAAATAAAAAGGTCCTCTAATTACAAAAAATAAAGTGAAATAAAGATTGGAGTGTGGCCTTTATTAGCTTGTGATAAGATGATGGTAAAACGTGTGTTGGTGTGGTTGTTGATATTAAGTGAGACAGTGACATTTTGTTTTTAAAAATATGAATTCAATAGTGATTCACACTCAAAATCCAAGAAAATTATATTCATGGAGGATGCGAAGTAAAGTTTTTCTGAATTTTGAGCATGAATCATATTGAATCCTTGTTACAAACTAAAAAGATTTATGTACCAAAACAAGACAACATATAGGAGACAAGAGATTGTGATGTAAACGTCCTTGTAGAATCTGCCATATAAAAATATGACATCATAAAGCTAAAAAAATAAATTTCTTAACTTGATTCTGGCATTTGATACATGACATTACCATTTAAAAGTTTGGGATTACTATGATTTTTTTTTTTTAAGAAATGTATACTTTTGTTCTTCAAGGATGCATTAATTTAATAAAAATGACAGTAAATGTAAATGACATTTATAATATAAAAAAGATTTCCATTTCAAATAAATGCTCTTCTGAACTTTCAAGGAACATCAAGGAATCATGTCACTGTATAATGTTTTCCACACTTCATTAAGCAGTACAACCATTTTCAACTGTGATAATAATCAGAAATGTTTCTTGTGCAGCAAATCAGCATATTAGAATGATCTCTGAAAGATCATGAGACACTAAAGAGAAGTTGAGATCTGACATCATAGAGGGAAAAAACATTTAAATTGTAATCTGTTATCTGATAGCCTAAATGTAGTTGGTGAGCATGAACAAGAACCTTACTAATACAAATCCTTAGAACAGTACTGTATATATCATATCAAAACAAGCACAAGTACACTTATGAACATTTGTTAATACAATTATTTTTTAACATGAAATTGCTTATTCCATTCCGTAAAATGCAGTGAAGTATTTGTTTTCTCATTTACAGTGTACCAAATGTAGGCTACTTTTAAACTTTTGTCCATACAATTTTGTTTAATCCAAAATTTGGTACTTACAGGAACACTTCCATGCTTGTGTGTGTGGTATTCATTTTGTAAATATAGCCTAAACCTAACAGTTTAAGAACAATCACACCAGCATAGATGAAAAACGATTAGTTCACAAATACAAGTTTATTTCAGCTGTTGTACTAAAATGATAACAACTAACAACAGACAGATTTAAAGCATTGCAAGCTACAGCACAATGAACTGAAATCAAAGCAATTTATACAACTAGATTAAGTGTGCTGAATGTCTGCAATAATTCCGTCAGTGCCGACTGCACAAAACGTGCAGACTAATAAAAACATTATAAACTGTTACAAAATGATGAACAAATGTAGTTTAGGCATATGTTTGTGCAACGCTGTAAATATGTTTACCTTTTTTTTATTTTTTTATTTTATTTTTTTTAATATTCCGTTAAACCTGCTGAGATACAAGGAGCATGAACTTAAATTCTCAGTTCCACCTGGTTCAACGCGCATGTCCGGGAAACTCATGAATATTCATGTATGCTCCGCCCACTAAAACGAAAATCTCGGAAACCAAAAATCTCGTGACACCGGCATATCTTCTGCTTGTTCTTAAAAGCTGAATAATTCTAAATGAACTCAACAAAGAATATGGTTTACATGTAGCGTTGTGGTGTGCAGTTACATGTGGTGTGCAAGACTCTCGCTCTCTCTCTTTGCATGTGTGAGAAACCCAGCGCTATCAGTAAAGCGACGGCGAGTCGTGCGCCTTCACACTAGTTTACGGTACGTCAAGTACAGGTGTGCTGCGTGCTACATACTGCGCATCCATTGAGTGCATGACATGATCCATTGAGCTCATCCAAATAGTACAGATCGCTTGACGGAGAGCAAAACTCTCAAGCACTCAGTCAGCGTGTTTATCGAGTGAAAATCTGTGTTGAACGCCTCTCACACACATACTGGCGTGTAAAATCTAAGAATTTATTAGCCAATGGCTAATGTTAGACATTATTTAGTCGCCCAGAGTAAGATTTAGTCGCATATGCGAGTGATTTACTCGCAATGTAGAGGGTTGGGTGGGGTAAGCGATTTCTGGTAGCCAATGTTGTTATTTAAAAATCACCAAAACAAATACGCCCCTACCCCAAAAGGGTCTCGCCCCTATTTTGATAGCTCCGCCCCACACATACGTACGCAACCCAAGCAACGATTAATTCTGTGAAACAAAGCAAAACCAATGTTACACCGGACGTGAGTGGCGCGGCGCGACAAAATACTATAGAATTCATAATCAGTGAGGCTGTCTACTACACCATAGATATACATATCTATGGTCTACACTGGATGCGGCGTGGCATGACACAACAAATCCCAGACAGAAAACTGCTTCTGCGTTCTATTTATGACGTATTGACACAAATTTTGAATGAGTTTCAACGGTCGCTTTGTCGCGTCCAGTGTACTAGACAGACTTTAGCTGTTGCGGCCCAGACACGGTGTTACTCGCCTATCGAGAAGAAACAAAGCAACCTCGGCGTCAGATCTCAGGCCTTCCGATCCTCGAGTTCTCTCCAGCGCTGGAAAGCTGATCCGATATTTACACGGGTCCTACTACTTGCCTTATTGCCTTAAGCCTTTGTTTGTTCTGCAGACATTTTCCTCTTTTGTTTTTTATCCACCATCTCTATCTTTCTGTCGCTTGGCTCGCTAATGTCCGTCCTGTGCACTGAACTCTCTCTCCTCCACATCATGAGTAGACACGCCCCTTACAGCTGATTGGCTACAAGTTTGTTTTGCTATTCGGCCCGAATCAGTTTTCTAAAGCGTTTTTAAAAAATAGCTTATCCCACCTTTAATTTTTGATAATACAATATTTGTTTAATATTTGAAATATTTTTGCAAACCTTCAAAATAATATTTTAACAATTCTGTCATTAAATAAAAATACAATTTATTTAGAAAGTACACTTTCAGGAGCCTCACAGAGTGAGATAAATTTTTAACGTCTATTGCGAAGCACAGAAATGCTTGTAAAGACTTACTAAAATGTTATATATCATTTTGAATTTACAGAGAAAGCCACACCATCACCAATAATGGTTGATCATGGACCAGTCAGCTCATCCATTCCTCCACCCAGCTGCACCAGCACCACAACTACCACCTCTAAACCCTGGAGAAGCAAGTCGCTCAGTGCTAAACACACTGCTACATCCTCCATGGTCACAGTTAAACAACCACCCCCAGATTCTCTTGAGGTTCCTCCTAAGATGATCGCCCAGAAGTCCATGCTGGAAAAGCTCAAGCTCTTCAACAGCAAAACGGGTTCCAGAACTTCCAAGGTTGTCAGTACGGAAGATGTCAATGCTGTTGAACCAGAAGGCGGCCAGATTTGCCCCATACACCCTGAAGCCCTCCCTGGAAACCAAAGGCCTGTCACTCCCAGCAGTTCTGGTAGCTCAAGTCCCAAGTTAGCGCTTAAGGGCATTGCACAGTTGACACTCGGAAGGGCTTTAGCACCCAAAATAACCTCGGCAAAAGCAACTGAAAAAGTTAAAGAGAAGTCAAAGCCTAAAGAGAAAGACAAGCTCCCTGTTACAGAACCTGAACAACTTAAAAGAGATACCAAAACCAATGGACATGTTGCACCCGACACTAAGAAGTCTGTTCCCAAAGGAAACAAAGCCAAGAAAGACAATGCCAAATCAGCCATGAGTGGGATTCCTAAACCAAGCCAGGGAGGAAAGTGTTCAGCTGCAAATAAGGTTGTAGCATCGCCCCCTTGTGGTCCGGAGGGAGAACGGTTACGGAATGGCAAGATAGGAGGTCTGTCTGTGCATAAAGGGCAGAAAGACAGCAGAAACTACAGCTCTACATCTAGCTTAGCATTTTCAGAAGAGAAAAGTTGCCAAGATCTCACTCTTGGTGCTCAGACCCACTCAACAGCCAGCAATACAGTCAGTGTACAACTTCCACAGCTCCAGCAACAATACAACCATCCCAACACGGCTACTGTCGCTCCATTCATGTACAGGTGACACCTTTATGATAACTTTAATGTATTATCCTAGATACTCCATCAGACTAGCAGGTTGTCCTGTCTCTCTGTACAGTAGGTCTCAAACAGAAATTGATAAGACTGGGCTTATGGCAGGAGTGCAGGAAAGGATAGAACGAACAGGCCTGTGCAGCAAATCCATCCATACTTCTCTGGAGAACCTGACAGGTAAACATGAGCATACTCATTCACAACATATAAAAATGCAGAAAAAAAGAAAAAAAAAACATATAGAACCATTAAACTTGAGTTGCGACTAACAATGTTTGGGCAGCTTTGTTGAAACTGTAACTGAAAATGATAAAACTAGAAAACTCGTTAACTATGTTTATGTAAATATTTCGCTACAAAAATGACATCAAATTAATCGCAGGGGCTGCTACTCATGGCCAAAAATAAATAGCTTCCAAGTGAATCGTTTCAGTGCTTCATAGTGGATCTTTTTTTCATAGTAAATCTGTTCAGTGATTCATAATGAGTCATTTTAGAAATTTGTAGCAAATTATTTTAGTGAATCGTTTAACAGTTCACTAAAATAAATCAGATATCCCAGTGCTACATTTGAAAGAGAAGACAGTCTGGAAACCGTGTGAGGTAAAAATTGCAATTACGATGTTTTACCATGTTACAACGCTATATGTTGGAAATATTGCTTGTTACTGGAAAAACTGTTTCAAAACAGTCTTAATGTCACTGTACTAAACATTTTCTACTGGACAAGTGTTGCTACTTTTAGGTAGTTACTCCCTAACTCTAATGCCTAGTTTGAACAAGGTCATTTACAGTGACTTTTTGTATAAAACAACACTGATTATTTATGAATAAGTGAGCAGTCTGAGGCCAATGTCAGGCCAGTCTGAGGGTGAACAAGAAAACAAAACAGCACTCATCTGCATGTAAAAGGCTATGGATGTCAAGGAGTTGCCAAGGCCCACCAGTGCACGTGTGTGTGTGTCCATTCTCAGCCTGTCAGAACTTTGTGTAGAGAGAAAAACTCTTCTCCACAGGGGAAGTTCCCTGGGCTGGTGTAAACATGAGAGCTGTATTCTAATTTCCCCTCTCTTATCCATGGAGGAAAGGAAAAGGCAGGACCGAAATCACAAGAGCTTCTTTCACAAATCAATCGGCACATTCTCTGGGAAAACGACTCAGAATGTATCAGACAGACCATTTATCCATCTTAATAGAAGCGTAGGAGAGTCAGGGACACGTTGCCACCAGAAATAAAAAAAGCTCAGGACATTAGTAGCTCTGTGAAGTCATCGTCTGCAAACAAGACAAAGACCTGCACCACTGGAAACAGACCTAAATGAATTGTCTTCTCAATGGACCAAGCAGGAAGTCATTCTCAGTTGGCATCTCCTCTCAGAACAGGAGGAACAAGAGATGGTTCTTATGAAGACACCTCAGACGACTGCTCCAGTCTCAGGAGAAAGGACAGGTTCTGGGGTTTAGCCAATTCTGGAGGACCTCCGACATCTTCTGAATGGCTGTCTGAACACACTCAACCAAGGGTTTTGAATGAAGGGGAAGTTAACACATTTAGCTGTATATATCAGCTACATTTGAGTCAACACTGTTGTGTGTGGGATGGAATTGCTCGTGTTAATGAGGAGATCCTTCAAACCATGTTGGATATGTTTGAAAAGCATGAAAGTAAGTAGATGTGTGTGGGTGTGTGTTTGTGTGTTGGATGACTCTGTTATCTGTTTTAAACTCTCATAACTCTTTATGACTCTGGATATCTGTTTTAAAGAGTTACCTGAGAGAAATTTAGCACACCTAAAGTCTTCATTATTCATTTGGGGCTTTTTGGTCACCTTTTATTGATAAAGACAGTAGTGAGAGGAGGAATCTTTTATATTAGCATGTTTGCTAACCGTTAAGTCACATCTCTGGCTATTCTGTTCTTAACAATGTCTTATCTTGCCATCTTTTCAGTCATTTTTTCTTAGCTGAAGTCTGCCATTGTTGGCTTAAAAGAGAAAACTGACTGTAGAAAATGATGTTTTGGCTAATGGGTGCTATAAGCACCCCTTTTGGCAATTTTGAGCATGTACATTAACTGCTTGGTTACAGCTCCAGCAAATCTGTTCATCTCTAACTTTATTAATAAGAGTGATATTTAAGCATAATTGATATACTATTATAGTTTTTGTTAATATTTTTGAATTAGATTTATTTGTATATTTTCCGTTTTAACTTTAGTTTTTTTTAACGATATAATTTTTAAGCTTTAATTTATTTAGTTTATTTTCATACTTCAGCTTAAACTAAATGAAAACGATGATAATGCTTAGCAGAAATGTCATGACAGCAGTTAGCTTGAAAGACAGAATATAGACATTTGTGCTAATGTCCGCTGGCGCTCCTTGTGTTGAAAATGCAACGCATAGCCTACTTGCGTTATGAACTTTCATCCCTTCCAAATAAAGCCAATATCAATCTGAATGCTGTTTTTAAGTAAATCAGTCTATATTTTAAGCAGTTTGAGAGGAAACAAGTCTGTTTTTACTCAAGTAGCACCTAGCGAACAAAGATTTAGCATTGGCCTCAGTGAGCAGTTCTGAAAGAGGTTGTTTGTGGTTTTTACAGCCTGCAGGAATGTACTTTACCACGGCACTCATTCTTTTACACATTTTACATCATGTGCGAGTGTGTGTGTGTGTGTGTGTGAGTCTGCTCTGTACCTCCTGAGCCCCTTGTTGGACCCCTCATGATCAGTAAACAGCCATTAATCCGAGTGGCCAAATCCCCGCTCACCTATGGCATACACTGTGTTTATTTTTAAGCAGCCGTTGGCTAACGTTTCGTACGTTAACATTGGTGCAAGAAAACAAAAAGCTCTTTTACGGAAAGCTAGGAGATTTAATTTCAGAGCAAAAGGGGCAGAGTTAGAGCTGTGATGCTAATACAGAGTTTGGAGTTGCTTCATTTACGTTATCCCAGGATTCTCAGGGTTTTGGCTGCATTTTTGAAGCATTTTAGGTGTGTGAATATGTGTGTTCGGACATGCCTTAGAGTTACGGTAGCAGCTGTTTGCAGACTGTGGTGATGGTGATGAGTCTGGTTTCCTCAGGTGAGGACTCTGAAACCAAGAGGCTACGTACTGTGAAAAACATTGCTGATCTGAGGCAAAACCTGGAAGAAACCATGTCCAGTCTGCGGGGGACGACTTATTTCAGTCACAGGTAAGAACCGCATGATCATTTTATTTTTGGTTATTTGTGTGTTTGGAAGTGGTCAAACGTATCTTAATGGAATAATCTGGGTTCAGTACAATTGATTTCCACAAAATAAATACGTTTGTCCCTTCTTTAAAAAAAAAAGATTTCAGTGAAGCAACTACAGTGGAAATGAATGGAGGCTATACATGTTAACATGCTGACTGTTTTTATATGTAAATATTCAAAGTTTTATTATTTGAGTTGTAAAAGCGTTACAACTCAAATAATACACAAGTTTTAACAGAAGTGTTTTTATAAGATTACAAGCTTCATATTTCTGCTTTTAAATCATTAAAAAAATTGGCCATACTTGCAACTTCCATTTTAACTTCCAAGCAACCGCAACTTCAAAAACAAGCCCAATATTTTTAGATGATTTATTATCATCAATTTTATTTATTATCAATAAATGAGCCTGCAACATAGTAAACTGAAACCACTCAGAGTTTGAAGCGCAAAAACAGAAGTTGGAGGGCACACACTATCCCAGGGTTCCTCAAATCTTACCCTGGAGGTCCAATGCGCTGCAGAGTTTAGCTCTAACCCTGCTCAAACTCAGCTACCTGTGATTTTCCAATGATCCTGAAGACATTGATTAGCATGCTCAGGTGTGTTTGATTAGGGTTAGAGCTAAACTCTGCAGGAAAGTGGATCTCGTGGGCCAGATTTGAGGATCCCTGCACTATCCTCCAATCACCTGCGAGCAGAATAGTTTTGGAGATGAAAAAGGAGAATAAGACGAGAGCACCAAGGGGGCACTTTAATATAGCAAATGTATAATAACATACTATTAGTATTACTACTTGTTTATTTATTGATTTAATGATTAATGCATTATAAAAATATTTTACAAATTGAATTAGGTCCCTTTCGTCCCCTGCGCCGTTCACCTTCTCCTATGCTTCCTCTCTATCTACATCTCTGTGGGTGGCATTGTTTGTCGATTTACATCTATTAGCCATCATTGCTTGAATTACAACGTCACATGCCTGCACGTTAAACGCGATTTTACTCCAATGAGGGGGAGGAGGGGGCGAGATGCGCGATGACGTATTACGCTACAGCACTTTTACTATTGCACTGATTGGCTATTAGCTGCGAGCAGACAGTGTCGGCAATATATTGGAAAAAACAGCGACCATAAATGTAAAGAAACAAAGTTGCTTGTCAGGTTTTCCTGACAAGCAACCATATTTATTTTAAATAAGACCAAAAAAACACAGCCCGCGACCTGTTTTTTTTTTTTTACGCGACTTTACAAAAAAAGAAGCCCAAAGTCACATAAAATACGCTGACTTGGCAGCTCTGCCAGGGATGAGTGGAAATAATTTTTTTGTGGTAATCAACCATAGACTGTATAAAAACATGGACGTAGTGTCCGTGACGTCACCTGTAGTTTTCTGAAGAGCCGTCGCCATCTTGGCAGCGCGTCACTCCCGGATAATCGAAAATAGGCAAAAAGGCGGGAGCTGGTTGCTGAAACCACGCCCACCTAGCTCGACGGTGGTGACAGCAGCGGCAATCCACCTGTCACTCAAGTGGCCACACCATTAATTATGCAAAACTTTAATGCTTAATATAATTTAAATGGATGAGTTATAAAAAAATTCACCCCCCTCACAGTTGTCATGAAGGGCAAAATTAGCTATATAGACCAAAATCATTTTTTGAACCAGGCTGTAAACATGTTTTTTCTGCTGTAAAGTTGGGCATTTTAACATGGGGAGTCTATGGGATTGACTCTCTTTTGCAGCCAGCCTCAAGCGGCCAGTTGACGAATTACAGTTTAAGTCACTTCCGTGTTGGCTTCACGAGAGCGAGCGGGAGGTTGCCGCTTGTAATCAACCCAAAGGAGTCTCACTAGTGGTAGCTGCTTCTTACTGCACTTTTTCTACTTCATGATCAGACTCTAAATGACTTCAGTTCAGTAGGGTTAAAGTACAACATGACATTAATTATGACTGGGCACAGAGATCACAGCACAGTTCAGAAAGCACCCTATTGTTCCCGGGTGTGTGAACCCCTTTATCTCTGGGGGTTTGCAAACTGTTAAACTCTAAATGGCTTTGAGGAAGACAGTTTGATTGGCATTAGGAGCTGATTTGGGGGGTGCTGGGGTTTTGTCTTTGCTGTGATCAGTTTGATGCGTGTCTCGGCCTTCCAGAGTACAAAAGCTGGCCGTGAAATCGGCTGGGGGCCTCCTACTGCCTGCTAATACTGGATAAAAAGCTTGTTTTAATATTCCAATGAAACCCTGTCCTGACAGGATGCTTTTACTTTTTGCTTGCTTTAAGACAGTAAAAGCTTAAGTTGACAAATTGCTAAAACTGAAATATAAAGTACATTAAAACAGAATGAGAAAAAATAAATAAATAACAAAATTACTGAAACTTAAACTACATTTAAAATGAAAACTGAAACTATAAAAATAAAAGCTAATCCAAAATATGAATGAATGTTATAATACTGTGTAAATAATACTAAAATAAAACTTGGTGACACAGTGAATGATACTCGTATGTTTTTGTAGTACACAAGCCACGGTTAAGCATCCAGTGTGAAACAGAACATGTAGTGCACCTATGTTTGCCGCCAGTTATAAGCAGAGAACAGATGATATTATGTTTGTAAACATAAATCCATCTCTGTACTTATGATCATAAGAACGACAAACAATATGTGTTACTCTACACTTCCCCAAACTCCGCATTGGAGCAGTCAATGGCACATAGTAAAACCTACTTACGGGCTCAGATTCAGAAACGCTAGATAGGGCTGGGCGATATGGCAAAAAAATATATATCTCTGTATTTTTTGGCTGAAATGCGATATACGGTATATATCTCTGTGTTTTCTACATTTTCTATGTGGAATAAAAAATATTTATTTATTTATTTATACAGCCTGCCCAATGTTGTCCAATGAAACAATGTTTATATTAAAGCCAATGAAAACAAATATAGTGAAAGTAGGCTATGGGGACTAAAATCACATTGCATGCTAACATTGTAACATTACAATCTAAAAACAAAAATAATGCTTTTTAACTGAAGTTCAATTCATTAAACTAAAAATGAAAGTAAATAAACACAAGAGCACAGATTAACTGCATTATTTTTTGATTACCCCATTACTGTTATCTGCTATCATAAAATACACTTTAGGTTTCAAATTCTTGGTTGTTGCGCTCCGGCAGCGCTCGTTCACTGAAGTCTGTGAAGTTTAGCAGAGAATCGCATGCAGAAGGCTTCTGACAGCAATTTGTAAATATTTCCATGACTTTCTAACGTTTACAGATGGAGAATAGAGCTTTCCAAAGTTGGAATTGACCCATTTTTTAGAAACAGAGGTTGCGCACAGCCGGCCTTGTACTCTGCAGGTTCAGGAAACTGTCCTCCGTAAAATGCGCTGCACAAACTCTTAAATTTTGGGTTGTACTGTTCTGGAACAGTGTTGTAAATAAATCTTAACCACTGATTCCTAATTGCGTCTACATTCGGGAGGCCAAATAAAGTGGTTTTGCTTTCACAAAGACACAGTGTCTTCACAACACGGTGGCAATAACACTACTGCGATATCAGAAACCACGCCTTCTTTCTTTGCATATACATTTGAGCGGCATTATGCAAATATTTCCACATAGTGACGTAGATATGTGAGGGAGAATTCGATCGGGGTGTTTTCGGCAGGTTTTGGTCACCCTTCTCTTTTAGATAGAAAAAATCCATTTGTGGGAGACTTAGAGCTTTGTAACTTTGCAGAACTTATACATGCACAAACAGCTACATGACACACTAAAGAAAAAGGAAAACATGAAAATGCATCATATGACCCCTTTTTAGATCATATGACCCATTTTCCATTCTTATTTTCCATTTAGTTTGGGTTTTAGTAATTTTGTTATGTGCTTTTGACATTTTAATATTTTCTGATATATTTCTAATATATATTTTTTAATATTCAGCATTGTTTTTCTCTTAGTACTTTTTCAGTACTTATTGTATTGTAGTTTGTTGACAAGGGCGCATTTCTAATTTTCATTTAAGTTTTTCATCCAATCTTTACATTTTGTTTTAAGCTTTATTTCAGTTATGTATGCAGGTAAGAATGCATCTCTCTGCGTCTGCCTCTGGGTGCCGTTCTTTTGCTAGTCCTTTTTACTAGTTAATTTTGAGTGAGTTGCTTCCAAACAGCTTTTTTTAATGAGCAAAATTTTGATGATAGTTTCAAAGATGTTTAATTGACACGTGTAACAATTTATAATGTCCATTTAGCACTATCAGAAGATGCGGTATTAGTGTTTATGTGTAGCACAGTGGCTCGACGCGCTCTGCACTGAATTCCTACTGTGTCCCATGAGCGGCTAGCCACAGCTTTTTAGCATGTAATCATGTAATGCCGATCCAGCTTTCTTTATTCCCTTCACTCTTTCATTGTGTCGTTCACTAGGAGCTCTGCCAGTTTTACTTGCATGCTCAAAGTCCTGGTATACTGTGGTTTGTGGCAACATGCAAATTACAGTATGTGTGGATGAACTCTGGCCCTTGTTTTGGACCATACAATCACAACCCAAGCTTGTCTGCTTCTGTATGCAGCTTTAAGCAGCTATAAATGTGTAGGGTCTACGATAATACTTCAAATAGCCCCAATAGCTCTTTCATGTTAGCAGTTATTTTGTTCATATGTCTGTTATCAGCTTTTCATTTCACTGTCTGTCAGTAGGACATGAAAACGCAACAAGTAGCCCGTGGTAGGAAGACGGGAGTCAAGGGTCATGGGAAATATTCATGGTTGAATCCTGAGAGAGGGTGAATATATGAATATTTGTTGCACGAAGAGAAAGAGAGTACTTGAATTTACCTCACAGACATGCATTTAGCTGACTTTCATGGAAAAATCTGCGACCTGTTGACCCTGTGGAAGAGATATGAGTTTACATCCAAATTTGGAAATGCGACGAAATGCACAAACACAGCACATGTTGCAATGTACACACAGAATCGTGCATAATCTTTCCCTAGTCCTGTTCAAACAGGAACCAGACAGACACCTTTTATTGGATTCTCATATTCCTTTTGCTCAGTGCTGAATTCCAGTAGAGTGATTCTGTCACCACAAGAAAATCTTTGCGAGACATTTGATCATAGTTGGAAAGCTTTTAAGCCCAATTACTGAGACCATATATGGATGGATTTTGAAACGCAGTCAACATTGGGTACTTACAGCGAATTCTGTTTCTAAAACCTGATGCATTGGTTTGGATTAGTGTCTTTTTACCAGCTTATCTTAGTACCATCTTAGTTACATGTTTGATTAATCGGATAAAGACAACAGAAAAAACATTTAACAATGTTTTGTTAGAGATTATGTAGGTATTGTTTTTATCCATCGAGTATCAGTTTTGTTTCGGCTTTTTATCTTATTTGATCTGATTTTTTACAATTTTATTCACATTTAGCTGAATGATACAGGATATTTTGTGAGAAAATATGTAGGACAGATACTTATTTTATCCAGTGATATTTGATTCAAGTGTGTTTATTTTATTTGAATTGTTTTTAATAACTTTTAACTGCGTAAATAATTTGTAGGAAAACATTTAGAATGAGAAACAATTTAATCCATTCATAATTGATTGAAATGTAGATGCTATTTTTGTTTTAAATAAAAACATTTATTTTTATTTTTAACTGAGTAAAAATAAAGTAAAAATAAGTAGTTGTTATAAAACTTTTAACTGAGTACATAATTTGTAGAAAACATGTAGGACACGAACCAGTACAATTTTATTTTATTTTATTAGAATTTTTTTTTTCCAGCCTATTTTTATATATTTTTTTCCTTGCCTATTCACCCTTGGTAATGTTAACAGAGAGTATAGAAATATAGATGCATTTGGATGAAAAATGATAAAAACAAATATTTTTGTTCTTTAAAACAGGAGTGATTTCTTATCTAAATTTACATTGTCTGCAAGTCTGTCAAGACTGATGTTGAATGACTTGCAGTGGGATACCAGGTCAGGGCAAATTAATAACCTCCTTGGGTCAGAGTGTTTAACTGGTTAAACTAATCTTAACAAGGTCTGTTGCATAGTAACCGATGTTAAACAGAAGCCGTTGTTCCCAGTAACACACCTGTCAGGGAACTAAAGAATAGGAAATATTGTCCAGTCATAACATTAAAACTCAGACATTATTCACAATCATAAATTACCTCTACAAAAAGTACAATGCTGGTACCATAGTTCAGTGATGGTATCAGATGGTGGTGCTTTGATGCATACAATTATATCGTTTATTTGCCAGATTCATGTACCATGGCAAGACAGTTGCCACAGGTTAGGTTACAGAGGATATATGCTAAAAAAAGTAACTTCTAATCAGTCAATTTAATCAACATGTTAAATGTTCACATAAATCTACTAAACAGTTTTATTACAGATTTAAAATAAACAAAATAGACAAATGTAATATTGTTGCTCTACAAGTTGCTAAACTTTTGATAGATGTTTTGAAAATTATGATTAAGCAACCACATGATTGTGAAATTCATATTTATTGACTTCTGATTTTTCTGCTCTGAATCACACCTGATGATTCATGTACTATTTGATTACCTGAGCTGAATTACTTAAATCATTAGTGTAGCGTGTGCTGTTGGGAAATTTCCCACCTGCCCAGCAGGTTAGTCAGCCGCCCAGATGACGAAACGCTGTCACCTGATTGCTTCACAGCAGGAAATGAGAGATTAAGCTAAAGGATGCATCGTCACCATCTGCAAATTTAATAACCAAACCCACTCCCATTATAATCAACAAAGCTGATACTGGGAAAATGCTTAGGAATGTTATATTTAAAAAACAAATTGTAAGAGTACTGTATGTAAACATTTATTAAATTATATTAGAATAAACAGGATGAAACATTTTTCTGTTTAAAAAAAGTTATATATATATGTATATATATGTTCCTTTGGATAAAAGCATCTGCTAAATGCATAAATTAATTATATATATATATATACACACACTACTGTGCAAAAGAAAGTATTAGACCATTTGTATTTTCACCAACAAAAAATGGTTTTAAGTCGGTTATTTCTGTCTTTTGCTGTAGTGTGTCAGTAGGAAATATCAGTTTACATTTCTAAACATTTCTTTTGCCATTAATTGGAATAATGCAGTGAGATTTGTTTATGCACACGGAGTCTGACAACAGCCAGTGCTCCGTACAGAGGTCTGATCTCACCATCATCCAGTCTGTCTGGGATTACATGAAGAAACAGAAAAACTGAGGCAGACTAAATCCAGAAGAACTGTGGAAATATCTCCAAGATGCTTCAAGAAAGTACTATTAGTACTAAGAAAATACTAATGGCCTTTAGACTTTTACACAGTACTGTGTATGTATGTATATATATATATATATATATATATATATATATATATATATACTGTATATGATATTTATTTGGGTTAAAAGTTTTAGTTTGGGGACCAATTTTCACTATTAACTAACAATTAACTATGACTTTTGCATCAGTAAACTCCTAATTTCCTGATTATCAATAGTTAGTAATGTAGTTGTTACATTTAGGTACAGGGTAGGATTAAGGGATCTAGAATATGGTCATCCAGAAAATATGTGCTTTATAAGTACTAATAAATAGCCAAAATTCTAGTAAAATGCATGCTAACAAGCAACTAGTTAAAAGTGAGAATTGGTTGCTAAACTAAAGTTTTACCTTACATTTTTTATTTTATTTTACTCATATAAACATTTAGTTTAACAAGACGAAACATGTAATTTATTAAAATAAATATTGTGACATTTAACAGAAGACTACTAGTTTAGAGACTACCACATGTTATTTTGACCAGGACATTTAATTTACTTTCAATTAAATATTGTTGAAAGACTATATTTACAGTCCTCTTTACCTCTTTACGGTCAAAAATAAATAAATAAAAAATTGCGTGAAGAATAACATTTAATTATATATTGTTAGTAATGATTGTAATTTTTTTTTTATCAATTTGTTCATAATTCATCATGTGGCCTTCTGTGCCACAAAAAGTAAATTATTGTAAATAAAACAAAATAAAAAACATTATTAATTAGAATTATTAATTATATCAATTAAAATGATTATAAATAAAAATAAATTATTATTATTATAAACATTTCCAGGGGATTTCAGGCAACCTGATATTTGGCTTTTTTTTTTTTTGTTGCAACAAGATGTTATTCAGTATTATTGTGTTGTAGTTCTGTTGTGCAAGATATGTATCTGTTATATGCTAAAAATCATATTAACCTGAAACATCATGCTCATCTGGAATTGGATCAGCCTGTTATCAGCGCTGCTCTCCCCCTGCAGTAGTTTTAAGTGTTTGGTTCATATTACCTGTCGCCAGAGGGCAAATGACTGTCCTTTGAGAACCTGTTTAGAACATCCGCTTAAACAGCTCAACAGAGTAAACACCCATCCACCTAGTGCCTCAGGTTAAGACACACTGTCCCACATAGCTCACCTGTCCACTTCTGCCTGCAGTCCAACCCATAATCGCTCTTATTTTCTCTCTCTCCTCACTTCTCAATCCAATGTGTCGTTTGGGCTAATAAGAACACGGATAGGTACTTACAATAAGATCACAAATACATAAACACACCTTAACAGTCAACAGGCACAGTCATGTGTTAAATTTAAATTTAAAGAGGCACTATGTCTAGTTTATAGCTGCTTTGGCTTAAAGGGTTAGTTGACCCAAAAATGAAAATTATCCCATGAATTACTCACCCTCAAGGCATCCTAGGTGTATATGACTTTCTTCTTTCAGACGAATCCAATCGGAGTTAGATTCAAAATTGTCTTTGATCTTCCAAACTGTTTAATGGCAGTCAGCGGGTGTTGCCGTTCATCAGTCCAAAAGAAGTGAAATAAAGCACATCCATCCATAATAAAAAGTGAACAAAGGCCTCCTGTAGTGAATCCATGCGTTTTTGTAAGAAAAATAACCATATTCAAAAATGTAATAATTACTTTAATCTAGCTTGCGCCAACAGTTGTACATGGAAGCAGCTCCGGGAGGATGACGTAAGATGTCGGCATCCTCCCGTTGTCATTTTAACGGTTTTTGTAATGAGGAGGTTCATTTAAACTACTATTAAGTTATACTATGCAGGTTTCAATTGGAACTTCCTATCAAGCATAATTGTTTGGGCATCATTTTTTATTTTATTTATTTATTTATTAAAAAAATTGTGGTGTATATATATATATATATTATGTACTGTATATATTTCTTTTATTTTTTTCATATATTCATATATTTATTCGTGAAATATACTGTATTTGTAAACTTTAAATTTTGTATATTTATTTTTTCACCTATATGTATTACATTTCTTAAATACTTTTAATGTTATATCCTTGCTTTAAGGAATTTACAATATATATATATATATATATATATATATATATATGTGTGTGTGTGTGTGTGTGTGTGTGTGTGTGTGTGTGTGTGTGTGTGTGTATGTATGTATGTTATTAAAATAAAATAAAAGGTCTTTCCTGTAGAACCCATGGCAAGATGTTCTAAAATTATCACACTTCTCTACTTAGGTAGAGAAACAGGTTTTTCCTGTGGGCTGATTTCTTGAGACATTGACAAACGTTTGTCTTTACTCTGTTTGTAGTAATAACTGAATTCATTTGTTATGAATGTGAACGTGCAGACACAACATGCTGTCAAAGGAGCCGGACAATTATAGAGCATAGAACATCAAACAGCGGCATCATCATGTAAAATATTTTATTTTATTAATGCGTCTCGCTATGTATTTAACTGTAGCGTTTCACAAGACAGCCTGTTTATGCTCCATTTACAGAAACGACACCGTGTTAGACTTACAATTGCGTCTTGTTTGTATCTTGTATGCTGAACTAGCATCTGTGTGTGTGCGTGTGTCTGCAGATACATGACGGACGGAGGTCTCAACCTGTACCCCAGGAGGGTAAACCGGGTCTCAGATGGAATGAACAGCGTGAGAGGGACCCTTCACCACTTTAATCCCAAGAGTCAAGATGACACTGATAGGTAGGACTTAGCCTTTCACCTTTGCGTTACCTGCACTAACTCACCCTGTAGACTCTCATTTGTAATGTTTTTTTGTTTCTGATGATCAGTAGTCCTGCATGTTGTTGATCTTCACAGACTGTTCGGTAGTCAAACCGGAGCGTTTCAGATGGGCTACTTTATGGGCTATGAGTTACTTTTGTTTCCTCACAAAGGAAGAGAGTGGTCATTGTCTTCATCAGTGCCAAAGGCAACTGCTAATGGATCAGTTTAGACATACATCCACTTCTTTATGCGTGTGTTCTCACGTTCGGTGTGCCTGCAGGCCCTGCGGCTGTTTAACGTCCCACATCCCTCGCCATTTGCGCTTTGTCTTCTCAAACTCAACAACAATCTGTGTGAACATGTAAAACTGTTTTTTTTACTAAACACACTCTGAACTGACAGCAGTCGACATATTTATTGTTAAAAACGTCTCATGAGCTGTGACTCATTGGTTAAGATTAGAAAGATGTCTGAAATGTCAGCTTGAAAGAGTAAATGAAATATGTTGTGGTAGAAAACAAATACATTAGAGAGAATTTGGAAGAAATGAGCTTAGAAATGAAAGTGAAAATGCAGTGCAGTGCATCCCACAGGTTTCAAATATACTTGCGGTGGTAGGGAGGTGGAAAATCCTCCTATTACCCATGACACAAAAATGGGGTAACACTTTATTTTAAGGTGTCCTTGTAGTACTTTCTATTATAATAACAATTAATTATGCATAATTACATGGAAGTAACCCTAAGCCAAATCCTAATCCTAACCCTAACAATATAGTAAGTACATGTAGTTAATTAATATTACACAGTACTTAAATGTATAATTACACTGTAACAAGGACACCTTAAAATAAAGTGTAACCCAAAAATGGTCTACTAGATGTAACAAATAACAAATAATGTGTGATTTTTAATAGTGTTTTTATTCATTTTAATTACATAGGCTACTATTACATTTAATTACATACTAATAGTATGCATTATTATGCATTGTAAATTATGCAAAATTACAGCATTTAAATGATAGAGTTCTCTTTGCTTTGTCATATAGTGTCTCTCTCGGTGAATGGGACACAGATTTTACTGATACTAGTAAAGTCTACTGTATATATTGAATAATATGTGTCAAATAATATTATTTGACTTTTCTTACTGTGGGGAAGCATCCCAGCCAGAAATTACAATAGTTTACTTTAAATTAAATGGAAATTAAATTAAAAACAATTTATTTATATCCAAAATGCTAATAATGCCCAGAAAAAAAAGAAGAAGAAAAAACTTAACGTGTGACTTAATTATAAACAAGCACGAAATACCCTGGCACTCTTTTTTTTAAATGTCTATACTATTGCGAGCTGATCCTTCAGATGAGAGATAAAATAGGCATTCTTACAACTGATTAAAACACCATATAAAGGTCATAAAGTAGACATTGTCATAATTCATCAACTCAAGTTCATAAGCAATCGCTTGGCATAAATATGACTTTCTTCATTCTGTAGAGCGTGAAAGAAAATGTTTAGAAAAATGTCCATGCAATGAAAGTCAATGGAGTCCCATGTTGCCGGGTTCTGGATTAAAAATCCCACTTATTTTTTCCATAGGGGAATTTATATTTTAACATAACTTATAAATCTTTAAAAACAGACCAACTGTGAGCTACAAGGTTGTTAATCGATGGTATATGGTTTTGTTGAAGCCATCAGCCTGAATTATTTCAACTTATTTTTTAAATTATCATGTTTAACAGTGGGATTCCTGGTGAAAAACTACATTACATTTTGATTCAAATCAAAGTTTGTAATGTTGTGGTTCACCTCATAGCTGGTTGCTTTGGTTAATGGCTTTCCACTTTCCAAGACTTTAAAAAAAACCCTATGGGAAAAATGAATGGGAAAAATACTTCCGTAACCAAGGTGGCATAAAAAGTGGTTTGGAACAACATGAGGACATTTTTGGGAACTATCCCTTCAAATGTTGCTTTTAAAAGTGAACTCTGAGAGTCCTGTCCTGCAAAGTCGACCAGACTTAGTCTATAATAATACTCTGACTCTTGAAGACTAAACTTGCCTATATCCTTGATGAAGTCAGTGCAGAACATCTCACAGATAAAATGGCAGTCGATCAAAATGTTGGCAGAAAATAAGGAAAGCCAGACAGATGACCTACAGACAAGGTTTGTAAGATCCACTGTTCTCCAAATAAGGTCATTTTCTTGAGCCCAGCCAGGTGTTTTTGCAGGATTCTGTGCCCAATACCTGTCAAGATATCATCTTAGTGCCCAGATTGATACAGATGAAGGAGGGATGATCTAAGACCTCGTGAAATGTTGCTCGGGGGCAGGAATGGTGAGAATCCAATGGGAGTTCCTTTCCTGTCTTCTTTCTTACTGGAAATGCTTGATGTCATGTATAATTTACTGGATTCTTTCTCCAACGGTGTAAAAAAGAGTTTGGTGTTTTCGCTTACATTATTTTGACTTGCTTTGTCATCAAATCTGCCAAAACAAAGTCAAGAGTCGGTGAAGAAAGATGAGGTGATGCATCCTTCTAAAAGAGCCACTTAAATTCCATCGAGAAGGGAGCCATGTTGGTTTTGGAGTTGGATGGTGTGGATGCTGTATAAGATTATTTTGATTCATTTGCACTGTACTGTAAATTCGGTCAAGACTGCTGTGATCAGATCACAAGCCAAGCTCTCGCTTTGATGGTCTGGTGATCCGTTTCAGCTGATGTTTCAGACGAACCATCAGGGTTTATCCTGTTTTGCTTTGACTAGATTTGTCTTGCAGATAATAAATGAAATTTCCTAGATATTTTGATATGATTAGTTTAACTAGGGATACACATTATATCGGTACCATACTGGTTATTGGCCAATATTAGTGTCTGTAATTTAATTCTTTTTTTTATAAATTATAAAAAAATATTTATTAGCAATTATTTATTTTTTATGTATTTTATTTTAATTTATTTATTTTATTCCTTTTTAATACATTTACTATTAATACATAAAATATATTTTTAAGTAATTTAATGTATTGGTCAAGATTGGATATTTAATCATAATTTTTTACATTTAGATTACATTAGCCGTTATCAAATGCTCATTTAAAATTAATCTTTAAAAAACTCCAGACATTTAACAACACTTTTAAAAGTAAATCTCAAAATGAATGTTAATTTTCATAATGTACATTACAAATTTCACTTTTAATATGCCTAAATTCACTTTTAAAATGAAAAAAATGGAAGGTAAACCAGGGGGGTGATTCATTTCTATTCCAACTGTAACTGGTCCCATTTGAGGTCTGTTGATCTGCTTGCATATATACATATTGTATATGTCAAACCTTTTTTTGCAGTAAAGGAAATAGGACCGCCTCCTTTTTATATACTTTTGCATAGAAATACAGACACACCCTCAAAAATGACAGTCGTCTCAAGCATGTGGTGTCTGAATCCCCGTGTAGTTTTCCTGCCGGTGGAGGGATGTCCGTTTTTCAGGTCCGTGATGACTGCTACATTGTGTTTGACTGTGTAATTTGGCCAAGGTAGTTCAAACACGGCTCTGAAATGTGATCGGGGCGTCTCGCCCTGAAGAAAGGGGCTTAGGGACCAAGTCTGGACTGAAAGCAGAGACCTGGTCAAATCCACACCCACACACAGAGGAAATGTGCCATATTGCACTCTCTCATCTGTGGGTCAGTTGGTTTCTGTCCTTCTATTCAATGCATATGAATGCCTTTGGTGTGAGGCATTTAGTCAGATCAGTTTACATTACTGTACCTCAAGGACTTCTGTATGTAAATAACCTGTATGTTATGATTGTCTAACCTCTGTCTTCCAGCATACTTTACACTTTAAGTTGCTGAATACTGAATATGTGTTCATTTGTAAATTATTTGTTAATTGTGTCGTGGTTGTGATGTCAAACTAAAATATTTAATATTTTAATATTTAAGTAGTAGTACCTTTTATTATCCCCTTGAAGAAATTCTGTTTCGGTGGGTTTCAACATGCATTTTTTTTTCACGTAGTCAAACAATACAACATAACAGATACCAAACAATAGCAACAAAAATACTAAAAAAAACATGGAAAAGAAAAAACAGAGCTATAATTCATTTAGGCATTTCACCTAAATATTTATATTCAATGCAAAGTACAGAAAAAAAATCTAGTCTAAAAGAAAACACCAAATGAAGATGAGGAAGAATTCAAAACAAAAAAACATTTCTATGGACCAGTATAATAAACAGCAGTGTTTATCTGTATATATTTTACAGAAACATTTTAATATATGGAAAATGGCACACAGACACTTTTTGGAGAGATGACAAAAGCAGTTTGAACTGATTCACAGAAATTTATTTCGCTACTTGCAGAACTAAATCATCTGAAATGTATTGTGCCTATTCAGTATATTACACATTAAAATCATCACAAATATATTTTGTGAATCCCTAG